AGTGTTGGCATTTTCACAAAATGAATCAACTTTTGCATAATCATTCTAATAGTAAGCTGAGCACCCAATGTACATGCTAATAAAAATAATTCTAATAGGCAATATCCAAGTCGAATCGTTTATTTTATACACTCGGTCCCGTTGATTAGTTTCAATAGATGAACTGACAGGATGAGAAGAGTTCACTTCTTACTTCACACTTTTTTCATCCGTCAACAGTCTAAAACTGATATTATCATTACTACTGTGGAATGTTGCAGATTGATAGGAAAGGTTTAAAACTGAAATCAACAATTTCAGTCAATGGCTGACTGAAGTATTTATTCTTCAAATCTGGATTTAGTTTATGCTCTGGTCAGAGAATAACCCCATTGGACAATCTGTTTAACCTTAGGTAAATTGTTAACCAATCAGAACGATCTGCTACTCTCCTCTGACCTTGCCGAACTTTAATGTAGCTAAGAATACAAAAATATAAAGTGTTTTTTCCGTGATAAGTGCACGTCTGTTACTAAGTCTATTCTCTTCTCCCGTTACACAATTTTACACTTTTAAGCTGCTAGCAGCTGAAGAAAATACGTCAAACTGAAGTGGGCTGTTTCTTTTCATCATATTGCACAGAATTGCTCATTTGTGCTAGACCAAAAATAAAAAAATGTTGTTGTTCAAAGGTACACCACACCCACAAGACGGTGCACTTGAACTGCATCAGTAAACTCACTGATAGGCTAAAACACGAAAGGCTATTTCGATATAGATTGAGAGTATGAATGACTCACCGATTATATATATATTATCCCATTCCAGACAAACAATGACTGGAGTTCAAGCAACTTGCCGTACGAAGATGAATGATTAAAACTGATCTGAGCCCCAGTTAAAGTTGCATTGATAATTATTATTAGTAGAAGGCAAACATAGTACATTATGGGCATCAACACCATTTATGCACGGCATACACGAAGGAGAAAGGATATTGTGTCTAGCTAGCCTTATGTCAAACTCTGGATGAACAAAATACTTCAGTTAATCAAATGCCTAGTATGCTTCATACCGTAAATAACAACCAAAAAAACAATAATTACATGGCGTTATATACTACTGAATGAGTGAGACGAGTAGTTTTACGCCAACACTCCTACAACCGGTAGTGATTACTAACCAGTAATCAAGATCGAAGTGATCTAAACACCAGGGATCGCCGATTTGCTCATCTTGGAAGACGGATAGGGATCAGCAGCGGAGTCCTCGATTTGATTCAGCCCACACCACCCGATTTTTGATTAGCTACCAGGACGAACTAATGATACTATAAATGAAATGATTCGGTGGTTCTCCAAGCTGAGTCAAACTGGGTACACCACTGATCAGCTCAACTGCAAACGGCCGTCCCGTGTTCATGTCACCTTAATCCAGGTAGTAATCACTAGTGGTTCATGTGAGTATTGGTAGACAACTCAACCATCTAAGTCGTCAGTAGTATATAGTTTTATGCAAATATTGTTGCTTTCTTGATTACCAATTATGGTGTTAAGCATATCACATATATATATTGTGGCGATCTTACTTAAATTGGTTTCCATAGGAAACTGTGGTGGAAATTCCACCCCATCGAACCGGATACATTTCAAATTGCTAAGTAATTTGCAAATTTCACTCATGCTGAGACACATCAATCAATCAATATCTTCTAATGTATTAAATAGACGTCAGAGCATTTGAACACACTTAACGAATTCTAATTCAATAAATTTAAAGCCACGTCACTACTTTTGATAAAAGTCTGAGTGCTCTTCATGCTGACGAAGACCAACCTTATTTTAACAGTAAAACGGGGTATAGTAGAGATAACTGGAGGGAGGGACTGATATTCTCCAAACATAACATAATATAATTTCAATAATGACTTAGGCTGAGTGCTACTTATAATCAGATATAAGTAGCGTATATCAGTAGCTCAACAAGCTTGACAGACGCGAGTGATTATGCATTCAACCACCGTTACAAATGATTCCCACAACATCTGTCTGTTTTCGACATAGAACTTTGCACAAATGTGCAGAAGTTCAAGTCGCCACACTCCCTCCTTGTAGCACACAAAGCAAGAGAAGAAAGTACAAGAAAAGTATAATAGAGACAGTGAGCAGAGGTGTGAGACAAAGGAGTAATAACGAAGAACAAAACAGTTTCATTGAAGATCATAAGTCACAGGGAGTGGATGCACCTGCGCCACTGAGAACGGTTTTGAGCCATGTCACCAATTGTTTCCAACCATAGATTTTTACCGTCCCAAGGACCCCAGCCTCGAAGTCTACACCTTCCTACGTGGCTTAGACCAACTGTTGTGGATTTCATTGACTGATGCCAAGTTTTTGTTTGACCGCCGCTAGCTTTTTTCCAGCCTGACCCTATATCCGCTAACATTGCTCGTCGAGGGAGGCGATGACCAGGCATACGTAACACATGTCCTAACCATCTCAGTCTTTGTAACTTCACGACTTCGTCGATTGATTTCCCCTGTTTACCTAGAACTCGACGCCTAACCTCCATGTTGCTCACCTTATTATGCCACTTTACACGGGAAATAGAACGCAGGCACCTATGATCAAAGACAGCTAATCTTTTCATGTCTTCCACTCTCAGTGGCCAGGTCTCACAACCATAAAGGAGGACGGAGCGGACTGATGAGCAGTACACCCGCCCTTTGGTCGATAGTCGAACATCTCGTCTACGCCAGAGTCGGCGTAAACTAACAAATGCGAAACGAGCCCCTTGTATTCGTGCTGAGATTTCGTCAGAGATCAGCCTGTTGGCACTTCCCAAGTAAGTGAAGCGGTCAACATGCTTTACCACTTCACTTCGTATTTTTAAACTAGGCGTCGATGTAGTCCAGTCCTGTAACATCATCTTGCATTTGGCGGGAGCGGATCGCATGCCAAACATGTCAATCGTAGATTACAGCTCAAGGTGTTTAGAAGGATCTGCATTTCGTCAGCGTCTTCGCCTAGAAGGACTATATCGTCTACATATTCCAACTCAACGAGATTATTCCCCGGTAGCAAGTCAATCCCTGAGTCGCTGAAGTCACCTAGGGTTAAGTCCATTAACACATCTATGATGAAGTTGAATAGAAAAGGGGATAATGGGCATCCTTGACGGACACCACTGGTCGTCATCAGTTCAGAAGACAGCTCGCCGTAAGCCCTCACCTGGCTGTATGAGTACGAGTAGAGTGCCTTAATCAGTGCAATATATTTTCTCGGGATTCCCTTTACAGCCAAGCATCTCCAGAGAACTTCCCGATCGACAGAGTCGAATGCCGCCTTTAGGTCAAGAAATATAATGACTGTTGGACGCCGGTAGGAATTCCTATGTTCTAGAATCTGTCGGAGGGTGAAGATATGATCAATACACCCTCTTCCTGGTCTAACAACATCAGTCGGCGACTGATAGTCAGTGGATATAATGTGTCCTTTCCTTCAAACATCCAGTGGAAATCAATACATTTTGGTGATGATGGAACGCGCCACGCGGTGGTGGGTAAATCCCGTGGCGATTCCAGACCAGTGTGCCAAGACCGTAACCGAGGTAGAAATTCGCCGTATTATGGCGGATCATGGTGTACCAAAAAATAATATTGACGGATCAAGGTCCCTGTTTTGAGAGCGTAGAGTTCACGATTTGTCTGGAGGCACTGGGTATTAAAAGGAGCGATGCCGTATCACATCCTCAGATAAACGGCCTAATAGAAAGGAATAACCATGCACATTCAAGGAGTGGCTCACTGAGAAGAGAGGCAACTGGGGAACTGACCCATCGTTGGTACTTGGCCACAGCAACAACACTGGAACAATAGATGATGGACAAGTGAGCAGAAACAAGCTATTCAGAATATGAACGAGCAGCAGCAAAAGGCGGACATCGAGAAAGCTGGCAAGGAACAAATCAAAACTTGGAAGCTGTTTGAAGTAGGCGACCAGATGAAATGTAGAGAACGAAAGTATACTAACAGAAGTGGACAAAGATCAAGAAAGCTTTTCGCGAAGTAGGAGGGACCATTTGTGGTCACATAGAGACGTGGTACAGTATACACAATACAGAGAGAAGATAAAGATAACCAGAGTAGACGCCAGTCTGCTCCAAAGATGGATACCAGAATGTCAAGACGAGAAACTAGAAGAACAATGGGATAGGACCTGTGTGCGGCGGTCGAGGCGGTTACAGGAAACACTTTATAGTAAGGGGGCAAGTGTAGTGAATGCTATTTATATAATCAGAAAAGTAACAATATGTTCTGGGGCACTGGAAAAAGCAATCGAAAAGAGAACTGTGAGGAGAAGAACATGTTATAGATAGTGTACAGACTCCGCCAATTTGCAAATGATGTGCAAATAAAGCATTGAAGATAATGACCTCTACAATGCGTTTTTGTCCTAATATAAAAAAACACCGCCTTCGAGTCTCATCGGTCTTTCCTTCTCCACACACAGTACACTATGTGAAGGCATCTAAAGTACACATAGAAATTAGACAGCGAATTGATTACACAGCATTGTATTTCTCATTCAATACACACATTTTAAACACATCTGACCTATATGTATAGTGTAGTCACCCTTAACAACGGATAACATACTTTTATCACCTAAAAACCAACATTTTTTCTATGAAAAAAAGACTAGAGAATTGCTTTCAATCAAGTGATGCTATTTAAAAGTAACAATCATGTTTTTTTCGTGTGAGTGTGTACATAACCAAGAATAATACAGATTAAAGAATAAAACCTTCAATAAAAATATATATAGAGATGTACGTATGTATATATTATTGTTCACTAAGTAGTTAGTATATAACACAGCACAATTCTTGAGGAAATAAATAATCAAAAGAAGTTAGAATTTCCCCCCCATCTCCCCGTTATTTTGAAGATTTCAATTCTTGAAGGTTACTTACTTTTACAAATTAAAAAATACAAACAACTGCTTTGCTTTCTCTCTCTCTCATAAAGATATCATATTTAATGCTGTAGTTGATGTAGGACTGGAATGAGAGGAATAATCTAAGGATTCAGAGGAAGTGATAGCTTGAAGTTGATCGGATGATGTTTCAGCTTGTGTTGAAGAAACCTAGAAGACAACAGTAAGAAAAGAAAAAAACATGCAATAGACAGACAAGAATGCGTCAACAACACCACCACCCCCGCCAACAACAGCAACAACGAATTAGGTCAAAATAGTTACGCGGAATTGATTATACATCTCACCAGTAAATACATATTACACTCATCATGTGTGATGAAATATCGGTTATAGAACCATTGGCGAAACTAGCCAGGGGTCTACGAGCTCACTGACTTGTAACTGGAGGGTCCTCGGTTCGACCCTCAGCGAGTGGGTGCGTACTTGTTGAAGAGTGCCAAGTTAGGACGAAACATTCGGCTGGTTTCTCTAATGGTTCTCTAACCGATGTATTAGCTCATGATGAAATCCTGAACCTGATGAAAAATCAAATGCCTGCAAACCAACACCTGAAAAACGAATATCCTATTTTCACAATACCTCTGTTTGAATAAAAAAGAAAACACAAGAGAAAACGACTTGTATGCGGGCAGGCAAGTAAATACTGATTGTCTGTCGACTTCGACTACGATTTAATCCTCAACATCACACAATAAGTGAAGGGAATCGGGAAGAGCATAATCTTTATAAAATAACCGAAAACTAGTGCACTTTGCATCTTTACCCTCCTTCAAGTAATCTATTAATTTGTATAAATTAACCATAGATTATGTACTTTGCTTCACTTCACTTATGTGTAAGAAGCATCGTTTTAATCACCGGCGGCACGGATGAAAAGGTCAAAACCAGCCAGGATAGGAGGGGGGGGAAGGTAAGGGAGACCTTCATATCAATCTGAAATCAGTGTGGGAATCTGATGTAAACACAGCATAAACAACAAAAATCGCATGCTCGACACAATTTTATCACAAGCCATTTCCCGTGTACGGATCAGAAAATTGGCGAACGCGCCAAGAAAAGTATTTCCAACAGGTCACTGCAGATGTTCATCAACAACTGCCACCTTCGCTGTTTCCACACTGAAAATCAGAAAGTCTGTAATAAAGAATTGGCAACAACAACAAACGAACCAATCAAGAACCTATTGCCTAACAAATACTTTGAAGAAAAATAACAAATGTATTAGGCACACTCTGAGGAGACCGTCAAATGACGTCGAGTGTGTGCCAAGCCACCGATTGAGTGGATTCCAATAGGAAACATGGAGTTTGACGTGTCTCCAAGTGCGGGGGGACATAAGAAAAATCATGTGAGGAGGAGGAGATCTATATCCCTAGGAGGAACTCTCCCAACATGATCTCCAATGATATTAACTGAAAACTTACGTGCTTTACATCATCTTCACTAAAGCTATTCCTTTTTGAATCAGACACCATAGGAGAATAAACAAAACTCATTTGTAGATCACGTCCATGAAATTGACTGAATTGACGAATAGCTGCTTCAGCAAAATCACGCGTGCAGAATGTAACTTCAAGAACTAATTGATCAGTTCCAGGGTCCGTTTGTTTTGTAAAACTTTGTGTATGTAAATAATTCATCTACAAAAAAAGAAGAAGCAGACAAGATCTCAATTTTACGCTTCGAACCCCGTATTTATAAAAGAATTCGGGTAATAACAAGTAGAAATACATTTTCTATAGTTGGCAGTAAGCACACACTAGGATGAAACGGATGATGTCCAGTACTCCCTGGTTTTCAATGGTTCTCTAACTCATAAAAACAAAACTAATGCTTACAAACCAACTATAGAAAATTATTCTGATGCTCGCTAGTAACTTGTTACAGGACGCAGTTTCCTGTAGTTCTACTAAAAAGTCGTAACCAGTGAGGTCCATCCAGTCACGTGCGAGGATGGACGTCCCACCAACGACATTAGTTGGTGCCAGTCGCGGTGAATCACGAAATGATAGAAGTTAGAATTCATGGACTGGCCACTGAATCGGTTCCCAGTGACTGAATGGCATACGAGTTAGCTTGCCTTGTAACCAGAAAGTCCTGGGTTCGAACCCTGGCGGTGGGTGCGTACTGCCGATGATTCCCAAGCACTAGGATGAAACAGATGACTGTCCAGTCCTCCCAGCTGGTTTCCCAGTGATTCTCTAACTGATAACAATCCGTGATCAACTCGTAGAATTACATTTGACATAAGCATAAGAAAAAACAAACTTGAATAATTCTCAGGTTTGAAGATTTCGGAATTCTTGAACTTACTATTATTATCTTGTTGACATGCGTAACACAAAGTTCAATATGGAGTTTATATTTCTTTCAGTTTACGAAAACCTCGGTCCTTCAGTAATTCAAAAAGTTTACAAACCGTTGCTGAGTAGTGTGTTACTACATTCATACTTCATTCCAAAAACACCCAGATCAATCTGACCAAAAGTAGGGATTTTCAGAGCAGTAAACTGAAGATATGTGCGTCGGTGGTCTAGTGGTAGAATGCTCACCAACCGCGAGTGTATGCGTTGCGGGGCTCGATCCCTCAACTGATGCACTCCTAAACTTTGCTAAGCCGGTAGTAAGACCGGGGAAGATAGGAGGTTGGGCATGAGGCCACCGACGTCACTCCCATCGGAAAACACGTCTGCTACTGTAACATCAAAGCTCTAGTTCGAAGCCCTATGTTCCACTAAGAACATAAGGAAATAACTACTGACAGATAGCTGTTAGAAGACAAATTTCGCGAAATGATATCGTCATTTCATAGTTTCGTTACAACCGCTTTACAACTAACATGGTTTACAATAATAAAATAAAGTTCATGACAATTATTCAGTCAAATAAACAACAAAAGTACATAGTAATGACCAATCATATTTTTAAATAGGTCAAGTAGTCCATGGTAGGCGAAGATTGAAGTCTATTGTTTCTTGTACACACAGTTTAGGCTGCATGTGATTAATCACCCAGAGTCCTTCCATCACCTTCAATAACCAACCTTGAATTAAAGTTATGTGATGAAATAATTGTGAAATAGTCATTAATACTGATTTTGTGACCTGACATTAATAAGTGCTTTGCAATGGATGACCCTGATGGATTTCTATTCAGATTAATCGCATTGGGGTTTTCTATACGTTTTAGTAGCCATTTTGGAACATGTTCTTTTCGACGACCACACTGGAATATTCTATTGGTTCTACCTATATACAGGTGTCACCACAGCTGCAGGTGAACTTGTAGATGAACTTTATTTTATTATTGTTAACCATGTTAGTTGTTTAGCGGTAGTGGCACAGTGGTTAGGACTCTCGCCGACCATGCACATGGTCCGAGGTTCGATCCCGTGCCGACGCACACCTGATATCTATGGTTGGCCTGAAAAATTTGGGCTACCGATATCCATGCTGAAAATTCCATACTTGTACCAAAAATACAGTGTGGAATCAAGCTGTAATCAAAAATAAAATAAAGAAACTACGAAATGGCAATATCATCTCGCGAAATTCATCTTCTAAATGCCTTATTCAAATTTATCAAAGGGACTAATTGTTTTAAGATACCTATTACACAAAAAAAAATAATTCATAACAAATTTCAAACACTAACCGACAGAGCATTTAGGAAGTTCTCAACATCATCCGCTTCAATACCAGTAATGTACAGAGTTCGCGGTCGTTTATCCAATTTAGTTTGAGTCCTGTTAGGGTAAACAGAACCATCAGCTGCAGCGAAACCGCCAGCAGTTTGTGGCGCAAGTATATCGGAAGGCCGAATCGTCTCTAGTTCAACAAGCTAGAAACACAGAAAGAAAGAAAAACACCTTTTCTATATGAAATTAGTCAAAAACGTAGCGAACCCGATAATTTTGCTGTCTGTAATTTATTTGGCGAAAAAAACTGAAATATCATAGAGAAAGGCGAAATTTCATCAGTAGAAAAGGTGGAAAATATAGAGTGTTTGTACAACTACAAAGAACCCTATCAACTTGTGCACAAGGTAATAAAAAGGAATTTCAAAGAGTTTGTAAGTTGAGTAGGCAGCCAGTGGAGGAAGAGATTGCTCAAGCAAAAGGAACTGGATGACTTACACACACACACACGAATGAAAACTGACGAGGATAAAGAAACACGTACAGTAGAATTCTGGTTTATACTTTAACTTAACTAAAACTTAACATATGTACAATGGCGGGAAACCTGAATAAACTTAAACTATCAAAAGTCAAAATCACAATTTTGCGAATTACACAGTTCAAGGTGACTTTTTCGCCAAACTTTCACAATTTGGAAGGCAACCGAACCTCTACATCTACCTCATCAACTTTGAAAAGGCTTTCAACAGCGTTTACTTTGAAGTAGTTCAAAAACTGCTTCCACACTATGGAATACAGTACCCCAAATACTTATCAGCCTCATTCAACAGCTATAATCCACAAACAAAAACCCAGAGAGGTGATTGAAGGGAACACAACAGTAAGACATGACCGTCCTCTTACCATCACCAATGATACTGCTAATTCTGGTGGACTGGAACATGGAGAACACATTATGCGGGGAGCAAGAACACAAGAATACGCTGGACCGATAACAATACTCTAACAGATCTAGACTGCTCGGATGATTTATGCCTAAATTGCCTAAATTCAAAGACTTACCACATGATTACCAACAAGCTGGGAGAAGAGTTCGAGCATACAGAAGACCGAGGTAACGAAGACACCCATTAGCCAACAACAACAAAGCCAGAAAAGACCAATCACTATCAACGGAAGAAATTTGAAAGAGAGGTCACTTTCTTCACCTATACCTATCTAGGAAGCATCGTTTCAAATAAAGGCACGTCAAGGATGAAGATGTCAAAACCAGAATCGGAAAGGCCAAGACGTGGTACACATTCAGCACTCAGAAATGAGTTTGGAAATCTACTGCACTCAAGCATAAAGAACAAAATTCAGATTTTCAACACTAATGTCAAGTCAGTCAGTTCTCCTACGTGGGTCAGAAACCTGATGCGTTACGAAAAGGATTTCCAACAACCTGTTGGGCGATGTCATCGACAGCTGCCGCCTCCCCTGGCTTCATACTGAAAATCTAATGGCCTATTAGGAAGAATTGGCAACAACAAACGAACCTATCGCTCGAGAAATATCTCGAAAAAAATGGGGACAGATCAGACACGTTGAGGAGACTGTCAGGTAGCATAGTCACGAAAGAGGCTAATGCAAACTTTTATCCACAGATACCACCTCTACTCCATATTGAGAATCAAATAGCAGGCCAGCAAGAATTAGCAACGAGGGAAAATCTTGGAACTAATCAACCATGAACTTACTACTCAACAAATACTCCGAGGAAAATGGAGATGGATAGAACACACGCCCAGGAGATATAGCAGCACGCCAGGTCACACCGTCTGAATGGAACCCCAGTAGTGGGAAACGATGGGTGAGATGGAGGAAGATGATACATTATGGACAATCATGAGGCGAGCTAAAGAGGATAGCAGAGAATAGCACACAGTGGAGACGTGCTGTTGAAGCCTTCTAAACGTTCCACTAGGAAGTAAAAGCAATAAAAATGATGATAATAATAATAATCCATTTGGAAACCGAGATTATCCAGATCAAAATATATGTGATCTGCTCGATAACATAAATGGCAATCAAGGAATCAAACGTAGATGCATAAAACTGTATACCATTATTTGATCCCCATCAGCATTTGTATATCACTCACATTAAAACCCCGAAAATATATATATATATATATATATATATATATATTGTAATTACCCACCTGTCTCTTCAATTCTACAATTCGTCGACGACCCTCTTTTATTTGCTCAGTGTCCTGAGGCATTTCGCGTAAGGCCGTTTCTACTTTATCTATTTCATCTTGAATCTACAATAAAAAAGCAACACAAAGTATAGTAAAGTACAATTTAAAAAATTACATAGGGGCGATAGTATTTGATAAGGGTATTTTGAATATGCCAAAATGGAAGCACAGTTTCAACTACAGGCACTCGGAACGGATAAAGGCGTCAAAGCAGGCCAGAATCGGAAAGGCAAGATATGCCTTCACCAACCTAAAACCAGTTTGAAAATCCTCTGCACAGACTCAGCATGAAGAACAAGAAGAAGATTCGGATTTTCAACACCAATGTGAACCAAGTCAGTCCTTCTATACGGATCAGAAGCTTGCACTGTGTGTGCGTCACGAAAAGGATTTCTAACAAGTTACAGACTTTTATAAACATCCGTCTTTGTTGGTTGCATACTGAAAATCAGATGACCGGCTGGTCAGAAAGAATTTTGTTTCTTCACGTTCCCCAGTGGAACATATGGCCTCAAGTTAGTGGCTTGAAGTTTCTGTAGAAGGATAAGGTTGCTAGCCTCATGCCCAAACCTTTCCTCTTTACCAGCATTATTTCTGGCTTAGCGAGGTAAAAGAGTGCGTCTGTGGCCGGAGATCAAACCCTGGACCATGTGTATGGTCGGCGAGCGTCCTAACCGCTGTGCCACCGACGAATTAACAACAAACTCCGGCTGGGAACAAACCAACAGACGAAAGCCGATTACTCAACAAATATGTGGGAGAAAATGGAGACGGATCGGGCATACGCTGAGGAGGCCGTCGAATGACATCACGCACAATGCAGGTCATCACTCGAGTGGAATCCCAATGGGAAGTGACGAGTGAGTCATCCTAGGGTGACGTGGAGGAGATGAGGGATTATGGGCAATCATGGACCCAATTGAAGAGTACAACAGAAATGTACTGTTGAAGCACTATGTTCCACTCGGAACCCAATGGGATAATAATAATAATAAATGAATTGCTAAAAAATCATAGCTCATTCAGGAAAGAAACCACTCACACATGCACACACACAGTACAACATACCTCTGAGATTTGTTTCTCCCTTTCCATTCGAACAGCTGCAGGTAGTGCTTGTAATGCAGCTGAACTAATTGTTGTACTTCCTTTAGTTTTCTTACTGTTAGTTTCTTTATGTAAAGTATGATTGGCCAATGCTTTTTTCTCAGCTTCTATAGCAGATTCAAGTTCGTGCTGTAAACGTTTAGCTTCAATGAGTAGTTTCTTTCTCTCGTCTAATGTTAATGGCTTTGAGGAATCTGTTGTTACACTGTCTACATCATTTGTATGATTATTCTCCAATTGATCCATTACACGTTTCAGGAGTAATTTTATACGAACAATTCGTTGTTTTTGAACTTCAATTGCAGATTCACGAGCTTCACGAGACTAAATAAATAGAGAAAGATGGAGTTACAAGGCGCCTGTGCATATATCAGCTTTGAATGACGAAATATATATTGATGCACAATATGGATGTAATTCATTGCACAAATATTGAGTGAGTGTGAGGGTTATCGTGAGGTGTTTTTACGCATGGTATTGTGGCGTGTGTGCTACAGACAAAATTTATCAGTAGTATATAAAGAGACGTTCGTCGCCGAAAAACAATAGCGGTGAGGTGGATTTTACGTCGAAGAGAGGAAATGAACCAGTATAGTGGTGAAACATGGGAGACACGAAAAGAAAACAAAGAAACACAATATGAAGGGTGGAAGCAGTACAACACGGCTATAAGGTGATGAGCTTGACTTGTATAACCAGAAAGTCCTGGACTCAAAACTCAGTGGGTGTGCGTATTGCCAATGACCTCTAAACTACGAGGAAACAACTGTCTAGCACTCCTAACTGGTCTTTATTAATTCTCTAACTGATATCAACCCAGGATCAAACTTGAAACATTCCGTCACTAACCACTCTTGTAACCTAAAGTTACAGTATAGCGAACTTCACAACAGATATTCTACCTTTTGATTTGACACTAATAACTAGTGTTATGCTTCCTGCCGATTGCCTCCAACCATCTAATATTATCAAATCAGTGTGCACCGTGATGGCGAGCTACCTAGAATTGTGGCCACATCACAACCTGACTGATAGAATTCAGTCTGTAACAAAGAAAGGACTAGACACATCACACCAGTTACTAGTGTCCAATCAAAGTACCCACCACTGAGCCCGAATAGCTCAGTGGTAATGTGTGCGACTGCAGCACTTGGTGGCGAGGGTTCGAATCTCAGAATGGACATGAGTTCCTTCAAGGTTGCAGATACGCCTTGCTGACTGGTGAGTGCCAACTAGCATGAAACCTAGGTCAAACAAAGCTTCCTGCCGATTGCCTCCAACCATCCAAGATATTCTACCTGCCTAACAAAGTTGAACAAACTGGAACACCTTTAAAACTGTCAACCGTAACATGTGATATGGGTACACAATGTCTCTGGGCAGATAATAGAAAATCAACTAACTGAGGAAATTCAAACTGCAATTTGACCACCGCCGTTCCAACTGTACAACAAGTATACTGAAAGGAAAGCGCCGCAAGTTTGATTTGCGATAGCGTATGTTCTCATCCGCAAATTATATGATACAAAAGGAAATTTAGAAATGTGCGATTCCCTCTGTCCCCATTTTCGTTTAAATTCATCATAGATTTACTAACTGACTTCAGAGACTCTGGGATTGACTTGTTACCATCAGGGAATAATCTCGTTGACTTAGATTATGAATGAGGATGATATAGTCCTCTCTCCTAGGTGAAGACACTGATAAAACAGAATAGAGTCTTCTGAACACCTTGATCAGAAAGCAATCTTCGAATGTTTGGAATCCGATTCGCTTCCGCCAGATGATGCTACAAGACTCGATTACATCGACTTGCTTCTAGCTTAAAGATAAGCAGTGAATTTGTAGCTGAGCGTGTTGGCCAGTTCACATATCTGGGAAGTTGTATCAGCCAGTGTCAACGGGTTGATTGCTGATGAGATATCAGCACGGCATTTAACAGCTAACATACGTGATATCAAACTGTAGGGCTTGTGTACAGCTCAGCTGTGAGTGAGACATGGTCATTGAAAGTGGAAGATACGAAAAGGTCAGTTGTCTTTGATCATAGGTGTCTGTGCTTTCTCTCCCGTATGAAGTGGCACAACAGAGTGAGCAATATTGAGGTTAGGCATTGGTCGAGTGCTAGGTAAGGAGGGGAAATCAATCGACAAAGTTGTGAAGTTACTTCCATATTGGTTTGTTTATTACAGTGAAACAGTATTATTTACTGGATGACGTTTCGAACAAAATTTATTTTTCATAATCATATCAGTTGTAATCACACGACTTTTGTGAAGTTATACCGATTGAGAGTGATGGTTAGGACATGTGTTACGCATGTATTCTTAATAACATCACATTCCTCGACGGGAAGTGTTAGCCGACATATTATCGATCAAGTTGGAAAAGCCTCATTGGTGGTGGTTAAACCAAAACATGGCTTCATTGGTCAATGGAGCCTTTACCAGTTAGTTTGAACCCGTCAGGTAGTAAGGTGTAGACTGCCTGCCTAGTTGGTGTCCTCAGGATGATAAGAACAAAAGCTGGAGACAATTGGTGAGATGGATCAAAATCATGTCTGGTGCAAATGCATCCCTCACTCTTTGTGATTCGTCATATCCAATAAAACTCTTTTGTTCTTTCATATTACTACTCTTTTTGCCTCCCATTTCTGTTTATTGTCTGTCTTCACTCTCTTCTCTTGCTTTGTGTGCTACACTACATGGAGTATGGCAACTTGAACTGCTGTACATCTCTGTGCAAAGTCCTACGCTGAAACCAGTCAACCAGCCAGAAATGTACAATCAACACAATAAACATACTAAGAAAAAATATCAATATAATGTACTTTTTTTAATGTACATTTTTAAAGTAAAAAATACCTTATCCAGAATCATTAATTGTTCTTTTCGCTGCTTTAAAGCAGCCATTTTTCGTCGTTCCCATGAAATCGCATCAGCCTCTTGTTTAAGCGATATTGTGTACGGACTTGAAGTGTTATTATTCATGTTACGACTTTGATACTTTTGTACATCCTAAATGGAAAGTTGACAATACAAATTGTAAAGGACATTAAGACACTTTAATACAAAATATGTTTTGGAAAACTTTAACTAATCTGTACTAGTATTTTCACTAAAACATTAGGCTATCCAAACTATATATATATATATATATATATATATATATATATATATATATATATATATATATATATATATATATACAGATAAGTACAATAGAATAACAGAACACACAACAGCGACGATGTAACAGTTTCGTAACTTCAAACAGAGTGCCTTCATTAGTTGGAAATACTGTCTCAGCCATTTTGTTCTTTCATCAGTTAGACGTTTCCACAGCACCTTTTTCGGTCGACAGAGTTAAATGCTTCCTTCGGGCCAAGAAATATGGCAAGTATGGCAGACACCGATAAGTATTCCTATGTTCCAGGCTATGTCAAAAGCCTGGCCGACAACTCTTACCTTATCGTGGTGGTTGGGCTTGAATACCGCAGTGATCCAACAAGCTAAACTGGCTGGGACTCATGTTCCTGCAGGTCCCACCCCTTGTCAGGAAGGTTGTTCGGATAGCAATTAGACTAAAAGTAGTTACCATGGGGTACACGGGCTCCAGAATCCAATCGGATCAAATGGCATATGAACCCATATGGGTTACCAGCTACCATAGGAATACAGCTCCTGACGCTGCTCCGCTGCCTTGCGGATTGGACTCCAAGTCAAAGGCTTGGAGGGTGATCCACTTAAGAAAACCACCTGCTTAGGTCTGGGAGCCCGGGTAGCATCTCAGTCCTCACACTAGTGTGGCGCGTCGTCTTGGTGCCATATTTGTGGCAAGTTTTTCTGCGTTTAAATAAAATTAAATAAATAAAATGTCGAAAGATGGAGATATGATCCATACAAGAGACGCGAGACTGATTTTACAGATCACATTACAGTATACATGACGGAGTCAGAAGAAATTGAAGAACATTCTAAAGTTTCATACAGTTTACAGCCGGCAGGTTTTTATTCATGACCACAATAACTTTACAAAACGGTGTCTAGTTTCGTCACTGCTTATAAAAAGCTTCCTTAGTTAGTTACTTCTCATCATCCTACAATGCGATGAAAAAAGTGAGTAGTTACAGCGCAATTATAAGTGTCTGTCTGTCTGGATTCAACATAGAACTTGGCACCGAAGTGCAGCAGTTCGAGTTGCCACGTTCCAAATACCACACAAAGGTAGACAAGAAGATGAGTGAAGAGAATCAAGTATGAGTGAAACAGAATGGGTAATGGTAGAAAGGAATATGAAAGATTACAGAGACTGAATACATCTGAGCTGGCCATTGACAACGATTTTGAGCCATGTCACGTACTGTCTCCAGCCAGTGATTCCTAGAGTACCGAGGCCCCCAACCCGGGAGTCTGCATCTCCCTACCTGACTCAGTTTAACTGTCAAGGATTTCATGGATTGATGCCATGTTTATAAGTTATAAGTGAGTAAAGAATGATGTTTTAGTTCGTTAGTGAGACATTGTAGAGAGTTCACATCATACTAAATCGGTGCTTAAAGTAGGTTATAATCCACAACTTTTGGGACAAAGTTAAACTTTCAGCACCAAAAAGTATTAAAGGAATCGCCAACTGTACCGATGACCTTGGTGAAGCTTAGTGTGAGCAAATTTAGTGTAATCAGGCAGATAACATGAATAATAATAATAATCATGAATAAAGTATGCTCAACGAAAATGTTATGATGTGAAACGGGATATCTGACAAGTTTTAGGTGAAGTTTGGGAAGCATTAATTTGGGGTTTAGACTAAATACAGGTTAGGGTTAAGTTGTGCTATTAAGGGAGATTTTGGGATTGGTTCGAGGTAGATTGGAGAGAGTTTCACTTTAGGGATAGGGTAAGAGAAGGCCTAAGATGAATGCATGTATAGAATGTGGTCTAATTACTCTATTTTGCAACTGCATTAGAAAACTGGAAAGCATTTTTTGTCAGACGTTAGAGACAGGTATTCTGCATAACAGCTTCATGCCTTCTTACGTATTACGCTGAAAATTCCATGCTGTAAATTGTTATTGTTGTGGAATAAAGTGATTATATTATTATTATTTCCACCATTATATAATAATGATAAATAATAATCTACTTTATTCCAAAAACGGTACTCATAATACAGAATGGAATTCTCAACATTTATCACAATATTGCATCTGATTTACTTAAAATATAAATAAAATTAAAAATTAAAACAAAATTAACCAGAGGAATTTGTCCACATTTACGATATAAAATCAAAAATATTCGAAGTACGAATTGAGAATATCAAGTATAATAATAATAATAATAATAACAGTGAGTTTGTTTCAAACACTATTGTCGATTCAGTTTGGAAAATTTAGCATGTTATTATGGAGTATTGAATCTAATGTTCTGTTGATATAGTATGGTGAGGGGAAATACAAAATTAACAGTTATAACACATCTTAAATGATGTTCACATTTATGAAAAAATAAACAAAAACAAAAAATCGAGAGGATTATAAATATAAGAAATACAATAACAATAAAGTTTGATGTTGTGAGGATGGAAGAAATGTTTTATTTAGTAGTGCAAAGAAGGTTAGCTAGTTCATGCCTAACAATATTCTCATCACATAAAGTACATGCCGAATGTGGTTGGTATCGTGGAATTTTCATATTTCTTGTTTTACCTGAGGAGACACAAGGTTGGAGCTGAGGGTGCTGTAGTGGATGCTCACAGTCTGACAAAATTCTTTTAGCAAATTTGTTGCCAATGACAACGTCAACGATATGGCTTAATGGGATACGACTCTCCCCATTGACTGACAGTCTTCAGAGATCTACGAAGTATGACATGGTCTTTTTTAAGCAATCCAGGAAAGAATAAGGCTGAACAGTACTTTATACGTAGAAATCGCCTTCTTCACGAGATTGATGCGTTCATCAGTGTCGTTTGTCTGTTACTACATTTTGGTGCTTAAAGTTAAGCTTCGCCCGGAAGACGTATTTTACATAACTAAGCCAAATCTTCGCCATATATAACTAATAACAAGTTTGTCATAATATCGCACGGACTGTACATTGATTTGGTATTATTTCGTACGATGGGGATGTCGGGTGGTGGGCGGGGATCTGGATCTGATGATTATCATAGTTATGTTGGCTTCTCATCAGCTGCTTACAGCCTAAATAAATTATGAGGTTTACGTACAGAAAAGTTGTAACATACTTGCACATTTTATATGTTGTCAGTTGACAGGAAGTCCCACAATTAGTAAACAGTGCTCAGAAAATTGCGTTTATATAGTTTTTACAAAGGCAGTTCAAGTTTAAACAGAAAAATAAATGTATCCATATGCATGTATGTATGCAAATGTATGCATATCCATTTCCATGACATCCCCCTGCAACGCCTAGAATATGGTAGTCTCCAGAGGTCAATCTACCGAAAGCCCATATGGAATTGACAATACTTACATTTTAATAGTTTTTGTCCAAATAGCTATAAACGAGCACTAGTCAAGACTCTGTACAATAGAGCGAGGAGAATATGCTCCGCAGAGAAACTAGAGGATAAATTTATGAATCTCGAAAAGGTGCTGAAAAACAACGGCTATCCTCAAAGATTTATTAACAAATATGGAAGATGTGAAGGCTCAAATACCAAACAAATCACACTTGAAAAAAGCCTGTCTTCATTCAACTAGATTTTAAAGGTCAAAACATTGCAGAAATGGTCAACAGAAGACTGAGAACGTCACTAGCCAGAGCCTATCCTGTAGCTAAGTTGGTTCTCGTCCATCGAACAGTATGCTCTTTGGTGCAGTCAAAAGTCGATAGATACCCTTCTCATGTTAACTCCAACTGTGTATACAAATTTACGTGTATCTGCAGGAGCAGTTACATTGGGAGAACAGAGAGAAGGGCACACCTCCGATTTTCTGAACATGTGCCGTAAAGCCTACGTCTCAAGGCAATAAACTCTTATAGTAGCGCTATTACTAGACATCTCTTCGACACGGGTCATGAGGTAGAAATCGAGAAATCCTTTAAAATTATCAGTAGACAAAGGAGTTCTATTCTCCTCAAGTTTGCCGAAGCAATTTTTTTTACGCCCGGATAAAGGTGGGGGAATCGTAGTCATGAATCGTGAAGACTACGTAAGTAAAATGCTGACCATCCTATCCGACGAATCTAAATTCATAAAACCAGCAAAGGAAAAGAACATGACGGAACAAACTGAACAAAAACTAACGAACCTTCTCCGAAAACTAAAGACTGAATCATTCATCGATCTCGAAACCTTCGAATCGTTGAAACCGTCGGGCTCAAATATACCCCGGCTATATGGACTACCAAAAGTGCACAAGAAAAACGTACCTCTTCGACCCATTCTCGATATGACTAATTCACCTTATCACAGTACCGCGCAATGGCTAGTAAACATACTAGAACCAGTCAGAAAGCAAATCTCCCGCCACTCACTTCGAGACTCCTTCGATTTTGTCAATTCCATTGAAAACGTCAGCGTTTCCAATCAAACCATGTTCTCACTAGATGTGGTATCACTGTTTACAAACGTCCCACTAACCGAAACAATATGCTATATATGTGAATATATTGATTCAAAGGAGATGAACATTGGTATCCCCACTGACTATTTGAAGGAACTCCTATTAAGATGTACTCTAAACGTCCAATTCACTTTCAATAATGAAATATATAGACAAAAAGATGGTATAGCTATGGGCTCACCACTCGGCCCGCTGCTTGCAGATATTTTCATGTCAAAACTAGAAAATACACACCTAAAGAAGATAATAGATAACTTCGGATTCTACAAGAGATACGTGGACGATACTTTTATTATCGCCAATAATGAGGAAAATTTGGAGAACATATTGGACTTCTTCAACAGTTGCCATCCAGCAATCCAGTTCACACTAGAGAAGGAGTCCAACGCAACAATATCTTTTCTGGACGTGCAACTAGCAAGACGCGAACAAGATGGGACACTCAAAAGATCCATTCACAGAAAACCGACATGGAATGGACAACTCATCAGCTTTCACAGTTGGGTGCCTATATATACAAAACGAAATCTGATCCGCTCACTGACTCACAGAATCCACAACATTTGCAGTCCGGAAACTATAGAAGAAGAGCTGAAGACCCTGAAAAGAATCCTTCTTGAAAACGGTTACCCGGAACGTTTCATCACAAAAGCTATGAAGCCGAAAACACAAAAACCATCCATGCTTACTGCTCCCAAGAAACTTCTCTATTTGAATCTACAATTCAACGGAGATTCTTCAGCAGAAATACTTAGAAACCGCCTGTGCCGTTCACTGAAGAAAACCTTCTTCGCAGCGGAACTCAGACTAACTTTCTCTACGAAACCAATGATTCGCACGAACGTGAAGGATAAGCTTCCACTGGGGGCCTCATCAATGTGCATCTACCAATTCACCTGCTCATGTGGAGCTAGGTATGTCGGCCGTACCCAGCGTTTGCTATCCAAACGAATCAGCGAACACTTACCTTCATGGTTTTATAAAGGAGAAAGAAGATCCCCCCGCCACAGCTCCATCCTAGAACACTTGATCGAATCCGGACACCAAGCAAACCCACAAAACAACTTCTCAGTTATCTACACAATACGTGGAAATCTTGCCAAAAGAGTACGAATTAAACTTCTTCAAACTGCAGAAGCAATGGCAATTCACATATTGAATCCTGAACTCTGCATACAAAAGAAGTTTGTTCAGTCACTAAATCTACAATGGTCCTGATCTATCTTAACACCAAATACGTAATTTTGTCTTACCTCTTTCTTCTTTGTTTGTCTATTTCTTAATTGCATTATTTTCTACCACCACCCTCTATTAAATCTCTACGCTCATGACGACTGTTGCTAACTCGATTTTCGTTTATTTTTAAGTGAATTCTACTCAGCTTATTAACTTAACTCTCATTCATTTTCAAGTGAATTCTACTCAGATTATTAACTTGACTCTCATTCATTTTTTCATTGAACCCTACCAATTAGATTACGTCACCCAACCTACTTTTGTAACTTTATTTTAGTTTCTAACCGATTAACGCCTTCAAAATTACGTAATCTGTTTGTCAAAAACTAACAATTGCATTAACACAATTTTTATCAAACGTTTGAAACCAGATTTATCTGTTCAGAAAGAAGCAGTTATTAGTCTTTCCTTGCCTTGGTAACTGGATGTCTTTCTTCTCTCATCTGATTACGTAATCTTTGCCTTTAACCTCATGCTCCTATTATAATCTGTAATTTGCTTGTCTCTTGTTACTATGATTTGAATTCAACTCAGTACGTTGTTACCTAACTTATTAGTCACTACGCATCTAACACATATCTCATCTTTAATGCGTAACTCCTTTACCATTATATGCATACATTTATTTTTTCATTTAAACTTGAACTGCCTTTGTAAAAACTATATAAACGCAATTTTCTGAGCAGTTTACTAATTGTGGGACTTCCTGTCAACTGACAACATATAAAATGTGCAAGTATGTTACAACTTTTCTGTACGTAAACCTCATAATTTATTTAGGCTGTAAGCAGCTGATGAAAAGCCAACAAAATAAATGATGGTACCATATTATTCTGCACAAACCACTGTTGTTCTTGCTTTATTCAAATTCATCAAGGGGAATAAATGCATGAAGTTTATCATAGTTATCAGTGCCAATAAGACGCATTACAGAAATATTCTCTAAGGTATCCATGATAAAGAAACAACAGGCGTTCATAAATTTCTCTACAAACACTAAAATCTGTAAAAAAAAATGAACTTACTAAATTAGTAGTATCTTGATCCGAATTATAATCGAGAAAATTGTCAGCAAGCAACTTATTATCGTTATGATCCATTTTGTTACTTACTTTAACAAAATTTGATGTTCCTGAGAAATCGGTGACAGGATTTTCGTCAACTATATCATCTTCTTCATCACCCGACAGCAAAGCATCTCCACTTGCAGGATTTCTTTCTAAACGCCAACGAGATCGGTTACCTCTCTGAAGAGTATCATTAGCGACTTGCTGATTATCTACACTGTCATGGTTCATACTCATCCAAGCGTAGGAATTAACTTTGTTGTTGGCATCAAGCACTGGTCTTGATCCTAAACGGTCCAATACACTCTAAAATATAAGTGAAAATAGATCGATTACAAAACATGTTTTAAAAAATAAGTCGGGACACATTTTATGCCCACTGATGAAGGGGACTGGGAAAACTGTAAAATATTTCTAAAGTAAGCTCAGTCATCTGAGATTTTCTCAGAAAAGTAATTTTCATACAAAGCTAAAAGAACACTTTTAGGACAATAATATTCATAAGTGTTGTTCATAATTAAGGCACTCGAAGTGTTTACAACAAGCCTAGAGAACACAACTACACGAATAAGTCGACAACGAGCCACACACATCTATTATGTATGAGGGAAAATGATAGTACCTGGCTGACCAAGCGGCTAGATAGACGGAGTGAGGTTTGAATCCACGACCCACCTAGTTGGAAGTTCAATTGTCCACACCAATGAACACACCTCCATGGTAGCAAACACTCTTTGAGCGTAACACGTTCATCGACTGAATAACTTTTCAGAGAACATGCATACCTTATATCACTAAGCAATATATACCACTAACCACGTTGCCAAAGGAGAGATCCAGTAGAAAACCTGAAGTACTAAAACTTATTCTAGGTATGCCTAAGGAGAACAGGGTTACAACTGAGAAACTGATCATGTTGTTTACGAAAGTAAGGCGGTGTTCTACAACTCGAAAATAAAGTCATTACTATAGATAACTTTACGAAGACCTTATTTTTTGTGTGGGTACGTGAAAAACATAGGTGTTAGTCTACCAGTGGTGTCCGTCAGGAATATCCACTGTCCCCATTTCCGTTTAAATTCATCATAGATTTACCAATCGAATCAACCTTAACTGACTTCAGACACTCAGGGATTGACTTTTTTACCAGGGAATAATCTCGTTGACTTAGAGGATGATACAGTCCTCCCTCCTAAGTGAAGACGCTGACAAAATACAGCACAGTCTTGTGAACACCTTGATCAGAAAGCAATCTTCGAATGTTTGGAATGTGATTCACTCCCGTCAAATGGAAAATGATGCTTCAGGACTGCACTAAATAGACTTCTAGCTTAAAGATACGGAGTAAAGTACTGGCTGAGCGTGTTGGCCACTTCACTTATTCGGGGAGCTGAATCAGCTAATGCCAGCGGGTTGATCGCTGAAGAACGGATACATAAGGCTCGTTTGGCATTTAACAGCCAACTAACGCCATCTGTGGCTTAGTAGACGTGATATCCAGCCGGTTGTCAATCAGAGGGCGAGTGTACTGCTCACTATTTCTCTCCACCCTCCTTCATTGCTATGACACAAGGCTATTGAAGCAAAAGACATGAGAATACCTGTATTTGATCAGGTGTTTGTGTAAGAGGTGGTACAATAGGGTGAGCAGTGTTGAGGTTAGACATTGGTCGAGTGCTAGGTAAGGAGAGGAAATCAATCAATGAGGTTGTAAAGTTACACCGATTGAGAGTGATGGTTAGGACATGTGTTACACATGCATGCCTAGCCACATCGCCTTCCTCGACCCACAGGTAATGTTAGCTGACATACGATCAATCGATCTGGAAAATCCTCAGTGGTGGTGGTCAAACCGAAATACGGATTCATCAGTCAATAAAATCCACAACAGTTAGTTTGAAACCGTCAAGTAGGGAGGTATGGACTTCCTGACTGGTTGGGGTCCTCCGTCCGGATGGCAAAAACCAGTGAAGGCTGGAGACAATTGGTGATATAGCTCAAAATTCTCGTTCTCAATGGCAAGGGCAAATGGATTTACTCTTTGTGATTTGATATATCCAATAAAGCTCTGTTTTACTTCTTCTATATTGCTACTTTTTTGCCTCATATGTCTGTTTATTACCACCTCTTCCTTTTGAATCTCTCTTCACTCTTTTCTCTTGCTTTGTGTGCTACATGTTATGACAACTTGAACTGCTGCACATTTGTACAAAGTTTTATGCTGAAACTAGTCAGTTAGTCTGCTAGGTATTGGAAATATTGACTGCTGCACTACTACCCTCTTCAACCACATATGAATAATAACGACTTTAAGAAAATGTAGCAGAATCATCTGAGGCGGCGAATGAACAGATTAAACATTCTTTTGTTATCAGGACGTGCGTCAGTGGCATAGCGGTTAGGACGCTCACCGATCACGCACATGGTCTGGGGTTCCATCCCTGGCCACAGACGCACTCCTTAACCTCGCTAAGCCAGAAATAATGCTGGTAAAGAGGAAAGGTTGGGCATGAGGCTAGCAACTCTATCCTGTGAAAATAAACGCTGCTACAGAAGCTTCAAACCCCTGGCTGGAAGCCCTATGTTCTACTGGGAAAGCGAAGGAAAAATTATTACTATTATTTTATCACGTACTTGAATATAGCCAGAAACGGTGGACCAAAAGTCATATTTTTTTACAGTATAGAATTGCTTCTGAATATGAATTATTATTTTATTCCTATATGCTACTGAGGCACACAAAACAACAAAGAACAAACAAAAACAGGCCGCGTGTGACCGGCCCCAAGCAGTTGTCCCCTGGGCTCTGCGGTCACGCAACCAACTTCCACGGTGTGGGCAGCCGGGAAGTAACAATCGCCCTCACAATCCGAAACGCACGCGAAACCTCTCTATTACTCACTCATCTTTGTCTTCATCTTCATCTCTATCATCTTGCCTTCCTTCCACTGATGCAACTCCTCGACTTGATAGCTCTCCACTCTGCGTCCACTAAAAACGATGGAAGCCAAAAAACCACCACCGACAGCCTCTTAAAGCCGCGCCACCAATTTCATATAGGAGCTCTTAATGTTAGGACACTTTGCCAAATAGGACAACAAGCATCACTAGCCAAGACCCTGGCATCACGAGCCATTGATGTATGCTGTGTTTCAGAAACACGCATACAAGACCCAAGTGTGGTTATTCACCTAACCCCACCTGGCCAACAGGTTGAATCTGCAAAATTCACCTTGAGGGTGTCAGGAGATGCCACAGCTAGTTCACGAGGATTAGCTGGCGTAGGGATAGCTTTGAGTACTAGGGCAGAAAAGACATTGCTTGACTGGATCCCGGTAGATAGCCGAATGTGTGCTGTCCGCCTGAACGGATCAGTAAGAAGGAGGAAGGACTGCACTACTCGCCGATGCCTTTTCGTAATCTCCGCCTACGCCCCCACTGACTGCAGTTCAGATGAAACGAAGGATGAGTTCTACCAAAAGCTGTCTAGTTTGGTGCGAAAGGCTAAACGCTCAGACATAGTCGTTCTAGCTGGTGACTTTAACGCTCAAGTAGGGAAATTGTGTCAATCTGAGAAGGATGTCGGTGGCACCTATGGAGTTCCGTGCCAGCGAACCGACAACGGTGACCGTCTCCTACAGTTCTGCTCTGATAATCATTTGTTTCTTGTAAGCACTAACTTCAAACACAAGGAGAGACACTGTTTGACTTGGAGACCCCCTTCATCAAACCAACGCTGGACACAAATAGACCACATAGCAATAAGCTATCGTTGGCGTGGGTCGGTAGGAGATTGTCGCTCCTTCTGGAACACGTGTGTAGATACCGACCATGCACTGGTCCGCGCTCGTGTGTGCTTACGACTGAACGGACGTAGGAAACAGCTGGCGGTAAAACCATCACGTCCCCAGCTCGATCAGGAAACTAAATCCGTATTTGAGGAAGAACTAGCTAAACACATATCTGTGTTCGACAGCTGTGCTCACCCTGAAGAAGCTTGGAAAAATATCCAGGCAGCCATAGATACAGCTGTAAAAGCTGTGAATAAGGTAAACCCAAAGGTGAGTAAAAACCACTGGATCTCCACCGCCTCATCCGAACTGATAGATGCTAGAAGACTTATTCCGGCGAGCTCCGAATTCAATGAGGAGCGAAAGCTGCACAAGAGGAAACTTACGAAAAGTCTCCGCAAGGACCGTGAACAGTGGTGGGCGACAAAAGCCAAAGAGATGGAGAAAGCTTCGAGGATAGGCAACACCAGGCAACTCTTTAGACTCATCAGGGAAACGGGTGGGAGAAGACAAATCATTAGTGAGACAATCTCGGAAAAAAATGGCACTATAATTAGCTCCAGGATAGACGACTGGATCGTTGGAAAGAGCATTATGAGGAGCAGTTTAATTTGCCCACAGCCACGCTCAACCTTCCGAGCATCCAACACCTCCCTGAATGGGATATAGACACAGGTCCTCCGTCACTAACTGAGGTTACTAAAGCTGTCACCAATCTGAAACTAGGCAAAGCAGCGGGACCTGATGGAATGACTCCAGAGGTATTTAAGTACGGTGGAGACAGCTTACTGTCCGGATTAACTGAGGTACTAGGCAGCGTCTGGGAATCAGAAGAAGTCCCATCGGGTTGGTGTAAGTCACTGATTATCCCCATATACAAGAAGGGAGACAAGTCTTCCTGTGATAATCACAGAGGGATTAGCTTGACTAATATAGTATCTAAAGTCTTAGGCTCAATAATCATGCGTAGACTGAGTGGTGCTCGGGAAGCACAAACACGAGAGAGCCAGGCAGGCTTTAGACCAGGAAGAGGGTGTATTGATCATATCTTCACCCTCCGACAGATTCTAGAACATAGGCATTCCTACCGGCGTCCAACAGTCATTATATTTCTTGACCTAAAGGCAGCATTCGACTCTGTCGATCGGAAGTTCTCTGGAGATGCTTGGCTGTAAAGGGAATTCCGAGAAAATATATTGCACTGATTAAGGCACTCTACTCGTACTCATACAGCCAGGTGAGGGCTTACGGCGAGCTGTCATCTGAACTGATGACGACCAGTGGTGTCCGTCAAGGATGCCCATTATCTCCTTTTCTATTCAACTTCATCATAGATGTGTTAATGGACTTAACCCTAGGTGACTTCAGCGACTCAGGGATTGACTTGCTACCAGGGAATAATCTCGTTGACTTGGAATATGCAGACGATATAGTCCTTCTAGGCGAAGACGCTGACGAAATGCAGAGTCTTCTAAACACCTTGAGCCGCAATCTACGAATGTTTGGCATGCGATTCGCTCCCGCCAAATGCAAGATGATGTTACAGGACTGGACTACATCGACGCCTAGTTTAAAAATAGGAAGTGAAGTGGTAGAGCACGTTGACCGCTTCACTTATTTGGGAAGTACCATCAGCCAGTGCCAACGGGCTGATCTCTGACGAAATCTCAGCACGAATACAAGGGGCTCGTTTCGCATTTGTTAGTTTACGCCGACTCTGGCGTAGACGAGATGTTCGACTATCGACCAAAGGGCGGGTGTACTGCTCATCAGTCCGCTCCGTCCTCCTTTATGGTTGTGAGACCTGGCCACTGAGAGTGGAAGACATGAAAAGACTAGCTGTCTTTGATCATAGGTGCCTGCGCTCTATTTCCCGTGTAAAGTGGCATAATAAGGTGAGCAACATGGAGGTTAGGCGTAGAGTTCTAGGTAAACAGGGGAAATCAATCGACGAAGTCGTGAAGCTACAAAGACTGAGATGGTTAGGACATGTGTTACGTATGCCAAGCCATCGCCTCCCTCGACGAGCAATGTTAGCGGATATAGGGTCAGGCTGGAAAAAAGCTAGCGGCGGTCAAACAAAAACTTGGCACCAGTCAATGAAATCCACAACAGTTGGTCTAAGCCACGTAGGAAGGTGTAGACTTCCAGGCTGGGGTCCTCGGGACGGTAAAAATCTATGGTTGGAAACAATTGGTGACATGGCTCAAAATCGTTCTCAGTGGCGCAGATGCATCCACTCCTTGTGACTTATGATCTCCAATGAAACTGTTTTATTCTTCTTTATTACTCCTTTGTCTCACACCTCTGCTCACTGTTTCTATTATGCTTTTCTTGTACTTTCTTCTCTTGCTTCGCGTGCTACACGGAATGTGGCGACTTGAACTTCCGCACATTTGTGCAAAGTTCTATGTCGAAAACAGACAGACAGACAGATTCCTTTGAGTTCCGAGTGGAACGCCAAGCTTCAAGCTAGAGTTTTAAAATTTCAGTGGAAAAGATGGTTTTTCCAACGGGATGCGGTTGCTAGTCTGACACTCAACATTGTCTCTTCTCTTGGCTAACCGTCAGTCAAGCAAGGTTAAGCAGTGCATCAACTGGGGTATCGAACCCTGGACTACGTGAGTGTGCTTGCCCCCCAGCATTCTAGCGGTATGCTACCGACGCTTCTAAATAAATAGGATGCTTCTTCCCACTTACCTATGGAACTATAATGGAACTAGAAAAATAATGTATATCTAAACACAGCTGTTACATATAGAAACCTTCATACCGAACTACTGACTAAATAAAAATAACCCCTCAAAACTATTAAGTTAAAAAGTTGGAAAAACGCAAAGAAAAGGAAATAATTACTTTTGTAAAACAGATCTGCATGCGTATATAAGGAACATAAAAACCACAAATACCGGCAGTTTTTTCTCATAAAGATGAATACACATCATTAAAAATCTATACACAACTAAAAATTCAAGCATAAATATATAGTAATTTGGTGGACGATGTGATTGACTACTAGCAGTAGAATCCACTAGGATGCGCATTCCATCTCACTTGGAACTAGTCAACCGGATGTACATGCATTCAACGGTGTGAGTGAATGGTAGTGTTCCCACTGAAGGAGCCCTCATAGCCCAATGAGTCTAGCGGATAACGCTCCGGTGTTTGAAATGAATAGTAATGGATTCGAGTGTTAGTCAGAACACTATCGCTCAATCACTCACTAGCTCTCACTGGGAATCGCAAGTACATTCAGATGACGAGTACTAAATAGTAAGAAATAAGCATCCTAGTGGATTCCACTGCTAGTAGTCAGCCCCCATTCACTAAATTACTCCAAGTAGATCTTCAGACATCCTTGAAGCATTCTATCTAGAAGCCAATATGGCAACAGAGGCTGAACACTTCGATTCAATCAATCAGGGAGGAAGTACAAATAAAATTAAATAATAATAATATCTATAGTATTTTATACATTGCAAGTTGACCTTTATATTCTATCTGACTAAACAGCTATATTTTTGTTACAGTGAGACAGCACTTTAAGGCGCGATCGATCAACTTTCCGACAGTACCACTACTCTCAAAGATATTACGATCTTTCATAACACATGAACTATAATAAAAAATTTGTTAAAACTAGTGACTAACTGAAAAATATGAATGACTACAATTATTACTCATATAAGTGGTAAAACAGAAAATCCAAAATGAACCACTAGATTGAAAATTGCACTCAAACACTATTTAAATTTGAACATAATTACAAAATCTGACCTTTGGTCGAGGAAAACGTCGATTTGTATTTCTTGCATTCTGTTGGGAATTTTCTGGTAGTCGAGTAAAAATTCGAATAAATCTATTCGAGAACATAGGAACTGGACTACGATAGGCTTTTTCTGCTTCATCCGACGAAGAAAACTCAACCATTGCAGTATCTGCTAAGCCATTGTATCTTGCAACTACATTTATCACATTGCCGAATTGAGCAAAATGTTCACGAATTTTATTTTCATCATTAAATCGCCATGGAAGACGATTGACGTAGAGAACAGTACGCGGATCAATAGTTCGAGATGCAAGAGTATCAGGGGATGATAGGTTAGATATTTCACAAGTTTTTGGGACAACAGCATACGAACTGATTTGTTCAGTGATAGGACTGGGTGTATATGACAATGGTGGAGTTGCAGCAGTAGCACTAGTAATATGCTCGACATCATTAACATCATCATAAACAGCAGGAATATTACTATCATCAGACGTTGAAATCATGGACAAGTGTGGTCGATCAGGTTCATAAGCAGGTGGCGCTGAATTTACAACAGACTGATGAGAAGTTGTTTCACTATTGTTGTTAACATTTTCAACCATTGGTAAAGTAACAATGTTTCGACTCACAGAATTGCCAGAAGTTCGATGATTATTGTGACGTTGTTGGGCATGATTTGGTAGACGAGAATTTCTCCAGTTGGCTTTATTATTATTATTAGTAGTAGTATTAGCATTATTATGATACAAAAGAGAAGGGTTAGCAATGTGTGACAGTAATCCGGTATCATGTGACTGATCAACACAACACGCCACTAACATTTGACTATCTTGTTGGTTGACTAAACAAAAAGAAGTGGTAAAAAATTAGAATAATAATAATAACAATGATAAGCAATTAGGTGACAGTGACTAATTTTTATTATATTTTCCGTACTAAATAAGTGACATATGAGAAAATTATGCATAAAACTCACGTTTATTAGTAGTTGAACTATGATCATACTTCTTACACACCACCTAACATAACACCAGAATTCACTTCTAGAAATGTATACACACACACGATTGTATGCAAATATTTTCATGTGGTTTAAATAACCGTGAATATATAATAGAAGAACACCCTGTCGTTTTAAACAAAGAAACAATGAAACGAAGTCAGGGGGATATTGCTAAGGTGTTTGCAGTAAGACATGAACAGTGTAGACTTCTTCGCACAATGCGACAAGTTAAAACCATTAAACATGAAAAAAAGGTAATTCGTGTGATACTACAAAATAATCTCCCCTAAAAGTAGTCTAAGAGATCTGTCTGAATAAGTGAATCTTGAGTAAAAGTCTATTCTGAGAAAACTTCACATTCTCCATCCGTTAACTCTGACTAACATGCGGGAAATGTGCACGCACATCATTTCCAAAAGGACCGACACTAAGACTTTTCTGATGAATAGGTTGAAAGCTAATCACATAGATACACAGTTATGATAGCTCGCTTCGAATGAGTCTGGTTGCTAGTAAAGAATTTGCTCGAAATAAGGGAAACATAATTGCAGAATTCAGATTAATTTATACATAATAGATTAGGAATAACAGTTAATTATTAGTAGTGACCAATTTCCATAAGCTGATTAGTAAATCGATCATTGCGAGAGCAATGCATGTTCTGTATCACATAGTTGCCTAGTAAAAAACATGTTTGATATCATAGTTTGGTAACCGATAAATGTAATGATTGTATTGAGACTTGAAATGATTCAGTTCTGCGGGGGAAGGGGGTATTACTATGGTCATTCACTTTGCTTTATAGCTTGGTTAGACCACTATCACCTTTTAGCATACAACAGAGGTACATGGACAACACGACTTGATGACAGAGAGACATGAGTCATTAGCCTTGACCTATCGCTTCTAAACAACTATCAGTGAATAGTGATTCGAAACATTACAGCCTGGGCGACCACACAATATAACAAATCCCCAAAAAGTCAAGCCTGGCACACAAACCACTGCATAGAAATCTGTACCAAATAAGGAAATTGCACAGATTAATTGACAAATGACTTTACCATCGATAAGAGCTAAACACACACTTTGCACCCCAGCAGTAAAATTGTCTAATGAGCTTGCCCTGTAACCGGAAGGTCCTGGCTTCACCCACCCCCGTGGATGAGTCCCACACTGAGACAAAACAGCTGTCCGATACTCCTAGATTTATGTGCGTCGTTAGTTTAGTGGTTACACGCTCGCCAATAACGAACGTGGCTTGGTTTGGGGTTCAGTACCCGACCGACGTAGTCTCAGACTTCGCTAATCCAAAAGTAAGGCCGGTCAAGAAGGAAGGTTGGGGGCGTGAGGCTAGCAACCTTACCCAGTAAAAATAAAACCACTGCTACTGAAATTTCAAATCACTACCTCGAAGCCTTATATTCCACTGGGAACTTAAAGGAATTAAAAAAATAATAAAATTGCACACACTTGAAAACTTTGTAAGAAGGGGGGATAAGTACCTGAGACTCTAAAAATAATTCTTAATCGATGCAAAACTTATAAGAAAGCAATTCACATCTGTTGGTATGGATAAACATAGTTCACGACAGTGATGCATTTACTCCTTGTCATCTTTAAGGCTTTGAAAATGACCAGTTTTCATTCACTCATTTTCTTCCATACAATCATGTTCACCATCACCATTTTATTATTGTTTTTTACGATACAAGTATGGAATTTTCAGCATGTGATATCGGGAGTCCGAATTTAGCAGGCTGACTATTGATTGATATCAGGTGTGCGTCGGCCAGGGACCGAACCCCGGACCATGTGTATGGTCGGTGAGCGTCCTAATCGCTGTGCCACCTCCGATGCACATACACTTTCCCGTTCTATTCTTTTTAAGTGTGCTTTTTGAAACAGAAATTGATTTCCCAAGTGAAATAAAGTAAGACATTCGACAGTTTTATACGTCTAACGAAGAAATTACGTCAAATACAATCTGATCGAATGATAGGCCAATACAGCACACATTACAATACAATTCTTGCTGATAATAATGAGTACTAATTAAAACCAGCTGGTTTTATCAAATGTTTGGAGTGTGCTGACCAATTGGTTATTTAGAATGTATTCATTTATTAGTGTGCTTATCCCTTAATAAAACCAGTGATCTCATTGGCGAAACGACTTCGGAGTTCGAGTCTCATCTCTTCTACTTGTGGTTAACGAGTCTTTTCAAGTGTAAGTTGCTTTATCGCTTTCTTTAGCCTCATAACTTAATAAACCGTAAACATTTTCCATCAAGGTCCTCCAATCATCTGACTTTGGACATCAAAACGTCATGACAAATTTCATTTTTTTTAATTAAACATCGCAGGTATCACAATTTTAAACAGACGTACTTGGGGTCGGATGATAAACAGGAATATAAGAAGGGACAATTTGTTGACTTAAATCGTTCAAGTTTGTTTGTCCAGATAGTACAGCTGTGACAATAGATTGTGGCTGAACTACACTGGATTTTGATGACTCCCGGATAATATTCATCGATGAATCCAGAATATTAGTTGAGAGTGATTTAGGATCTAGCAAGGGATTTGTTAGGTGAGTAGTAACCGATGCAGATTTAGCAGATGAAATGACTAAAGCATTTGGGCCATGATTGTATTGGCATTTGTCTCCATATACACAAAATCCACGCTCTTCGAAATCACGACAGCGTCGATTGCTTAGACCCCGAAATTTTTCATCGTTTATTCTGCTGTCAGGTGAAGACCTTGTTGTCGCAGATTTACCCAAACGACTGTTGTGTTCATCTCGGCTACGCGAATTAATGCGTTCACGACTGTCACGTGTTTGTGACTCGGAATCACGATGTTTATTTCGACGAGAATGCGTAGTCAAGTGTGATGTCTCTCCATCTGAATCACCTAAAATGCAAGTGGAATTGAAGTTTTTAAGTGACTTATCACCTAAATAAATTTACAATCCTAACAGTACAGATTAATACAGTAAAAAAAACAATGGAAAGAGTTAATGACAAACCTGATGAATTACGCCAATTGTGGGAATCCACAGTTTTTAGATTAGACTCTCCCATTTGATCATTTTGTCGTCCACGATCCCAAGAATCACCATGCTGTCTGCTAGCTACAGTAGTATTATTAATTGACCGTGATGATGAATGGGGGCTACGTGAACGTCCAGGAGATATTCGCTTCGACTTCACCTCTGGTGAACGTTTTCTCTTCTGCTTGGCAGTTGAGCTGTTTGTCGAACTTGGAGGATTGCTGTTGGATAAGTTTCTTTTTCTATCCTTTGGTATATTATCAAACGAATGGTTTCCGGAGTGAGGTTTCCCGGATACTTCTTTGGGACCAGAACTACTTGACTGGATTGGTTTCAATGGTTCATTTGAAACATATGCTCTCGACTTAAGTGCAGTGAATAGGTCTTCAACAAACTTAGTGGTATTCTCTTGTAAAAATACTTCGAGTTGATCCATACATATTTCTTTTAACTCCTGTTCTCCTTTGTCTTTTTTAATCAAAGCTATGACATACTGAGAAAGTGGGATGGGATCTGCAACGCACCTGAAATTAAACACAGAGCAAATCAAGTAAGTCAATCACATAGGCAAGCTAACAGTTAGTGCGAAAGGAGTAAAGAAAAGCTAGGGATTTCTATTCTCATATTTGACCTAAATTATATTCAAATACAGTACAAATATCATCTAGTGACACGCACTCCAAGTATGGATGACACTAAATAGGATAACAACGTTTAACCTTCGACCAACATTAGTGTCTAATTTCGCATAAATGCAATTATATAATTCACTCGTAATACTGGTTTGCATCTAAAGCTTTTAGGCTACTTTAACCACGGTATATTTATTCTGACTGCCCAATGAAATATGAACCATCATGGTGTGTGGTGAGTCCATATGCGTGACACCAGCTTCAAATACCTCACAACTGTTTTTCAATGTGAAACGCATGGTACTAAGAATCGCCTCGCTACATCAACGATCATTCCTACTACTAAGGGAAAAAAGTCCTCATACGATAATCATACGGGGAACATAGTTTCTAAAATCCTAGGCTTAGTAATCATGCACAGACCAAGTAGAACTCGGGAGGAACAAATGAGGAAAAATCAAGCAGGCTTTAGACCAGATAGAGGGTGCATAGATCATATATTCACTCTCCAACAGATTCTAGAACATAGACACACTTTTCGGCGTCCAACAATTGCCATATTTCTTGACTTGAAGGCGGCCTTCGACTCCGTGGATCAAAAGGTACTATTGCAATGTTTGACTGTGAAGGGAGTGCCAAGAAAGTAGATTGCACTAATCAAGGCACTCTATTCAAACTCACGTAGTCGTGTAAGGGCTTATGGGAAATTGCCATCTGAGTTGATAAGCAGTGGTGTCTGGCAGGGATGTTCACTTTCCCCATTTCTGTTTAACTTCATCATAGATATGCTAATGGAAGTATCCTTAACTGAACTTAACGACTTAAGAATCGACTTGTTACCAGGGTATAGTCTTGTGGACTTAAAATATGCAGATGACATGGTTCTGTTAGGGGAGGATCCTGACAAAATGCAGTCTTCTGAACACCTTGAGCAGCAATCTTCGTATGTTTGGCATGCGATTCGCCCCTACAAAATGTAAGATGCTGCTACAGGACTGGACTACGTCAACTCCCACCTAGCTTAGTGATAGGGAGTGAAGTGATAGAACATGTTGACCACTTCACCTATTTGAGAAATTGTATCAGCACCAACGGACTGATTGGCGACGAAATCTCACCACGGATCCAAAAAGCTCGAGCTGCTTTCGCCAACTTACACCATCTCTGGCGTAGGCGTGACATCCGGTTATCAACCAAGGAACGTGTGTACTGCTCAGCAGTTCGCTCCGTCCTTCTCTATGGCTCTGAAACATGGCCAATACGAGTTGAAGACATGAAAAGGTTGACTGCTTTCGATCATAGATGTTTGAGATCTCTTTCTCACGTTAGGTGGTATAGTAAGGTAAGTAATGTTGACGTTAGGCGTGGTGTTGGGCAAAGAGGGAAAATCAATCGACGAGGCAATAAAGCTACATAGATTGAGATGGCTAGGTCACGTGCTGCGCATGCCTAACCATCGCCTCCCCCGACGATGGGCATTACTAGCTGATATAGGTGCAGGTTGGAAAAGAGCCAGTGGTGGCCAAACAAAAACATGGCCTCATCAATCCATGAAATCCTTGACAGTTAGACTGAGTCAGGTAGAAAGATGCAGACTTCCGGGTTGGGGCCCTCGGGACTGACTCTAGGAATCAATGGCTGGAGACAATAGGTGACATGGCTCAAACTCATCGTTGTCAATGGCCAGCGCAGATGTATTCAGTCTCTGTAATCTTTCATATTCCTTTCCACCATTACCCATTCTGTTTCGCTCTTATACTTGTCAGACTGTATTGATTCTCTTCACTCATCTTCTTGTCTACCTCTGTGTGCTATTTGGAACGTGGCAACTCGAACTGATGCACTTCGGTGCCACGTTCTATGTTGAATCCAAACAGAGACAGACTAAGGATTATGCAATCCGACACTACCTGAACAGATGCGATACGAAATTAAGTGATGCAGCTGATAAGTTAAGCACAATGAAACAGAAATATGTCCATTACAAAGTAAGGCGTCATTCTATATTTATTTATTTATTTGGGTTGCAACGACTCAAACTAGTACATTAGAATGAAACCACCAAGAGATAAGACGAATGAATGGCAGTGATAACAAGACTAACTGAGCAATACACAAAATAAAAGGCATACATAGTAAGGATAATAAAAATACCTAAGCCAAAACGTCTAAACATAGCCCACTTCCTGTTACATCTGAATTCATTAACTATAGACTTTATATCCAGAAATTCAATCAATAGTCTCATACTTCTTCACAAGACTTGAGTTAACAAAGACCTCAAGAGTTGGTATCATTTAATGAACTGATCATCCTTCTATTGATTAACTGCTTATCTTTAAATCTGACTCAAAATATGGGGTGTGTGAAAGACATCTGTTGGTCATAGTAAATGTGAACAAAATCTGGTAAGTAGATGTACATTAAATATGCATTCGTAGTCAAGTTATTCAACTATAGGTTGCCTCGAGGTCAAAATAAAGTCTCGACAGTTTTATACAAGTAACTCAGGTAACGTGTTACACTAAACGGCGGTCGATCTAAGTAATAATTTCTGAATATGATGTAAATTCACAATCACACTAATTGGTTTTCAAAGTCCAGTATTGTCTTTAGCTTGTGCATTGTTCTCTATGTAGAAAACTAAACGGATAAGCCGGAAAATATATGAAAAGGTGATTCTTTTAATCACTACTCCCAGCGTTTTATAGCCATGAATAAGAGCGGAATATGCTGCTATACAATCTAATCTGGTTTATCTAATACCCTCAAACGGGTAAGTTATATGGAGGTGATCTGAGACACTACTCTAAAGAATCGGGAAGGCGAGAAACACATTCATCAACCTGAAACCAATCTGGAAATCTTCGTCACTCAGCATCAACAACAAAATTCAATCGGATTTTCAATACAAACGTCAAGTCAGTTCTTCTATACGGATCAGAAACTTAGCGGGCGGGTCACAAAGAATATTTCCAACAGCCTGTGGCAGACATTTACCAACAACTGTCTTCGCTGGATCTATACTGAAGATCAAATGGCCGGGCCGGAAAGAATCACCAACAAGAAACTATGGGAACATACAAAACAGGAACCAATAGCCCAACAACAACAAATATGCAAGAGAAAGTGGAGATGGATCGGACACTCGCTGAGGAGGCCGCTGGATGACTTCGCGCGCGTCAGGCCATCGCTCAAGTGGAACCAGGCCGAAAGGGAAGCGGCGAGTGGGACGTGAGTGCAAGGGTGACATGGAGATCGTGTGGAGAGTTGAAAGAGTATGGACTAACATGGATGCAGGTGAAAAGTACAGCAGAAGACAGAAGCAAGTGGAGACGTGCAGTTGAAGCCCTTTGTTCCACTAGGAACCCAAGGGAACAATAATGATCATAATAGTGAGACACTACTCTGGAGTAGGCGCGCGGATCACAAAGTAAGCCAGTCTACAGTGTCATCTAAGGTTTCAAAACACTGGATTTCGCCAACATGAAATAGGACTGTTCTCTGTGCACTATATATGCAATGACCAATGGTTAGAGACAGAAGATCCTCATGGCTGAAATCGTTTACAATGGAGTGAATGCATTTGTTTAAAGAAGCACAGCACATCTCTGTTTCACTCCGTCTTCTGTAGTCCTTTTTTGATGATTCTGCGATTCCCCATTACCTTTCATCTCCTCCGTGTCACCTTTGGACCCCAAAGTTGTTGTTTCCATTCGAGTCCCACCCGAGGGCTTGGTGCGTGATGTCACTCAACGGTCTTCCAAGCATGTACCTGACCCATCTCCATTCATACATGTATGCTGAAATTAAACAAGTGGGTACAATGGATGCCCTTGACGGACACTAGTTGCCATTACTCCACAGGGTTACTGTAAACTCTTACATGGCTTATTGTGTTCAGAGAGTGCCTTGACCATTGTGACATAATTACTACACACGCCCTTCACGGCGAAACACTGCCACAGCACTTCTTGACCGACATTCGAATGATGCCTTCACATCAAGAAATATGTCAAGGGCTGGACACCGATGTGTTCTTCCTACAAAATCTAAGAGCGAATTTGACCAAAATGCCGCCCTCCTATCCTACGGCCTGACAAGTTTTCCTAGGTTCGTTTTTCCTGAACACCGCTCAATCAACGAACGATTATTGAGCCTAGAACTTTAGGTACTACGTTAGTCAAGTTCAACACGCTATGATTATCACAGGAAGACTTGTCTCTATTTTTATAATCAACGATTTACAACAGTTTCACGGGATTGTTTCTGATTCCCAGACCTTCTCCAATATCTTATTTAAATCAAAAAAACAGTTCACCACCATCTTCCCTAAACACCACTGGAATCATTCGACCAGGTTTTCACGGTGCAACAAACTGAAACAAGTGAGATCCATCCGTCAGCAGTAATAGCATTCCAGTGTGGTTACACAAATCAAATCCTCGAACACTAGACGCATGCCACGAAAAAACCTGCGGCACTGCCAATCACAGATGGCTGACTGACTTGTTTTGAACATAGGGCTTTGCACCGGTGTGCAGCAGTTCAAGTCGCCACACTCCATGTAGCACACAAAGCAGGAGAAAAGTAGAAAGAAACGCAAAACAGGGACAGTAAACAGAGATATGAAGCAAAAAGAATAGTAATATCGAAGAATAATGTAGTTTTACTGGGTATCATAAGCCATAAGGAGTGGATGCATCTGCGTTATTGAGAACGATTTTGAGCCATATCACAGATGTACCCAGCCATTGGTTTTTACCGTCCCGAAGACCCCAACCAGGAAGTCCACACCTTCTTGTGTGGCTTAAGCTAACTTTTGTGGATTTCATTGACTGATGCCATGTTTTGGTTTGGCCGCCGCTAGCTCTTTTCCAGATTGACCCTATGTCAGCTAATATTGCCCGTCCAGGAAGACAATGGCTAGGCAGGCATAGGTAACACATGTCCTAACCATCTCAGTCGATTTCCCCTCCTCACCTAGCACCCGATGTAAAACCTCAATATTGCTCACTTTACACGGGAAATAGAACGCAGACACCTACGATCAAAGACAGATAGACAAGCTTTTCATGTGTATTACTTTCAATGGCCGAGTCTCACAGCCATAAAGGAGGACGGAGCGGACTGCTGAGCAGTACATCTACCCTTTGGTAGATAGCCGAATATCATGTTTACGCCACAGACGGCGTTAAGTGGCATATGCCAAACGAGCCTTCCCTACCCTTGCTGAGATTTTGTCAGAGATTAACCCGTTGGGACTGATGCAACTTCCCAAATAAGTGAAATGGCCAGCACGCTTAATCAGCATTTACTCCTTACCTTTAAGCTAGAAGCAAGTCTATTTAGCGCAATCCTGTAGCATTATCTTACACTTGACGGGATCAAATCACATTCCAAACACTCGTAGACTGCTTTCTGAACACCTTGAGCAGCCATCTTTGAATGTTTGGCATGCAACTCACTCCCATCAAATGTAAGATGATGCTATAGGACTGAACTACATTGACTCCTAGATTAGAAATGGGGAGTGAAATAGTACAGCACGTTGACCGCTCACAGAATAACAACAGATAACACAATTTACATTACATAGAACAAATATTACTGCTAAGTTTCGAAAGCAAAGAGAAATCCACTGTCTTTCATGATATGTACAGTCCCCGATATTTAATGTGTAGTTTGTTATTAAAATAGGTATGTGAAAGTGATACTATACATAGAGCTACTGTCCTTATGGAAATACATTTTCTGCATTTTGACAAATCAGACAGAACGCTATGCAGATCTGGAATGGTTTACTTTGACACTTCTGTCAAGTATATTTAGGACATCGATTAAAATATGCATCCTTTTAGACAGTCCAGTTTCGGAGGCCGAACCAGACGTTCAGTATGAAATAAGTTCCTACAACCGAAAGAATACGTGAAAAGAACCAATAACAGCCAGCAGAATTATCAAGCATAAGCAACTACTATGAAGTGGAAATTCTCCAATTTGTCCATCACTAAACTATTTTTAGTCAGAACAGTAGCTGTTGACTGATCTATCAGAAACTGAAATTTCACGGAATCTACGGCATCCAGATCTGAATAACATACTATTATGGACGTATTTATTTCACCTTTGGCATCTTTGTACTTCATATAGTTACTGAAAATTAGTCCCCGGTACACAATCACTGATGCACTTGTTCATATAATGTAAACAAAGTTATGTGGACACAACAACCACTGCCTGATATTCCACACTCGAGTGAAGTGAACAAAAGACCTTAGTGTTTGTTTAATGTTTATTCGACTCCAACGTATATCACGAAGCAAATAAGTAACGTGTAGGTTCCCATACACCTTTGCAGGGACACGATACTATGAAAATTTACGCTAAAACAAGCAGCTCGCTTCTATAATTGGCGTAACGTTTCACAATGCCTATGAGAACATGAAGTCATCCTGCAATCAAATGCTGCAGTATGCCCATGTTCATGTTAGGGTAAAAGTTAATTATTTTTGCAAAACCAGCTACAGCCCCTTATTTTATGAGCTACGATATACTCTTTCAAGTAATTTCTCTATAAAATATGTATAACATCTTAAATATCCTGCCAATTGGCACATAGTGCAATACTTAACATAAATCTTTACTGAATATACTTCTACGGCAGTAAAATAACGAAGAAACTTACAATGGCTTCAGTTTACCATGAAGCCAAACCTCGAGTTGTTTATACTCCACCTGCATCGCGCACTAAACCGCCAAACCTACAGTATGGAAGGAGCAATGTATTTGACATGATAAAACAAAAGTGAATCAACAAATAGTGGATTGACAAAAGCGCTTCAGTTTGTAGAGTCACACTCCTGAAATTTAGGAAAAGAATTCTCCTCGACGGAAAACTTTAAGTGTTTCCTCCTTAGATTTTACATCATGGTATTGCGAAGCTTTTCAGTTCTTTTATTGGTCTGGAGAAGTCTTTGTATACGAATAGTGATGGCTAAGGCAAATTTTACTCCAGGCAAACTCATAAGAGGAGAACACTCTTAGATTGCTGCATCTCAGACAATATGAGAATTACGTTATTCACTAAAATCACTGGTCGTGAAGTAGGATAGAATTCCCAAGCATTCCTATGTAGGGAAAACAAGGACTTTATAATGAAATAGAGATTCTTTTAGAAGACATCATTTCCAAACTTAATTTCCTTGATCATAGTGCCTAAAAATGCAATTAAAATCACAAACACTACCCAGTGAGTGGTCACAAAAAAGTAAGTGAAATGGCTTTAGGGGGAATAGAGTTCAAGAGGATATAACGTTGAAAGGTTACCCGACATCAGTTATTTGATGGTTAACCAGGCGAAAAAGCTTTATTTGGAATTCTTACTAACTAACATGTTGGGCTGTATAAGTTCACTTGAGCGGCATAAGAATTTCCCGAAGAGCTTCGTTTTTTGTTCCCCTACACTGAAATTACTGTTCCATGTGGGCTGTAGCCGTTTGAAGTATTAAAAATATGATTATTTTTGAACTGTCTTAATTACTGCATTATTTGGAGCGACAGCCTTCAGGTCTCTGTGAGGTTTCTTATTCATTATAATCGCATACTTAGTAACTTTCACCCTTATCACCAAATAGCTGCACGACTTCTAGTTTCCAAAGTTAACTAGATTTTAGAGGTGTAAGAGAACATGCATCCCATACTTTACGCCCTGTAATCCGACAAACGGTGACACTGGGAATCCTCTAGAGTTTACTGATGAGTGACACTGTGATCATGAGGCAGATATATTTTCTAGAGAAGAGGAAGTAGGGTAATTTTCATGCTGAACAGCCATTTAATTCCTTTGCGGAATGGAGCGGGGGACTTGTGGGCAGTCAGGTGATGATTACAGTCATTACTGGTGAACACTGAATCTTTTATTTATTCCAACCGGTCTCCATATAAAAGGGGACAAGAAGGCTATCGTTGCTTAGCTGTATACTGGTTGGTAGAGTGTAAAACACATTCAGAAAAACTTTTATACATTATATTAACGTTTATTTACAGACTCTGAATCTGGAAACAACTGTGAATCTGTTTTATTACCAATTGAAGAAGATAAAATGCAGATGTTGCGTCAAAGATTTAGAAGAAAATTTATTATCTCCAGGAGTTTGTTCAGAATCACCCAGGGCAGTGGTGCGCAACTGAGTGGCAACTCAGTTTTTGGGTGGTTTGATGACATCCAGAAAGACCATGGTCTCTCTTGATTACGTGAACCATTTGGATTCGAGTTCTCTTCTCTAAGTACTTGCTAAGAGATCGCCCACTTGAAGGTGGCCTGCTTAAATCATTGGGTTGCCGAAATTACTTTCCTCCAAAAAGCTTAATTTCATCTGGATTTATCATTGTTTTAATCGTCCAGTTATATCAAATGACCTATACATTAACTTGCGCGATGATTTAACTTGCGTCCAAGTTAACGTTGTACAGTTCTCCGACGAAATGAAGATGTACTTCAGATTATAACTTTACATGTGAAGAAAAAAGTACTTTGGAACTGAATACGCTGAAACTTTTTGTACCATATATTCGCATACTGTCCTAAATAAAGCTTTACCATTATTATTAACAAAGTTGACAAGGATCAGCTCCTGTATTGGGGCGACAGGTTTGGATTTAGAGTTCGATGTCATTTTGAGGCTGGTAACAGACAACGTTAACCAGATGATATGTACCATTTCCTGTATTTTTTATTCTACTCCTGAAATTAAAAGGTGAATAAGAGAAAATCATTTGTGATAAGAGCCGGCGCACGCGGCTTTGTGCATCGTTGGCACAGTAGTTGAAACTCTCGCCGACCATGCACATGGTCCGGGGTTCGACCCCTGCCGACGCACACTTGATATCTATGGGTGGCCTGCAAAATTCGGGATACCAATATCACACGCTGAAAATTCCATACCTGTACCAAAAAATACGCTTGTGGAATCAAGCTGTAATCAAAAGAGAAAGGGGAGGGGTATATCATTTGTATTAATACGCACCGGTTGAATGAAAGCGGTAGATTCATCAGAATGAACCCTTTGGAAAGGCTCCAAGTCTCAAAACAAGAAAAGGTCACATTTTAGCTGCCTGAAGAGGGAACATATGAAAGTGAAACGCAAAAAGCAATGTAAGCAAAGTAGTTCTTTGGCGGGATTGCCTCCACTTTTGAGGACAGCAAGAAAGGCAGCGAATTGTAATAATTGGAACAGCACTTTCAAGCCTCACGATACCCAGAATCTATTTTAAGGTAATACTAGTTAGAATGAGGGATCAAGTTCATTTTTGGATACGTATGCATTAATAGATATTGGATCAGACATTTCCCAGTTAGATGCTCAATTCGCCAACTGTGTAGGTATCAAGGGTATGAAATAGCTCTTATTTCTGGGTACTTTCAACTCTTCGGACTCTTCAACGTATGAATGAGTGCCATTTTGGTTAGAACCCCCAGTAAATGGAGAATTCACTGAAGTGAGAACTGCCTACACCACCTCCAGTATGAAGCTTGGTGAGGCCATCGTACCTGATTGTGAAGTAATCGTGAACAAACAGCATTAGTATGATGTGGCGCTTTCCATCCTCTGAGGTAATAAAGTTGAACTACCAGTTGGGCGCAACATACCTTTGGTTCATAAAGTATTACAAGAGGTACAGAGGTACAGATGATTTGTTCACCAGGAGAATGCCACTGGGGTAGTCTTCACGGATCATCTCTTGTAACGGGTAATGGTCTGTACAATAAATGGTTCCACGACAACAATGTCACAGAAAGATATCGGCCTGTCGAAGAAGCGAAGGTAGCTAGTAAGCCTTTGCTGAATGGTATGTTTTAGACGACGCCTCAAACTGTGCAGAATGAGACTGCAACTTCACAGTTCAGTTCTGATTCCTCAACCTTAACTTCGGCTCTAGTTTCCTTCAAATGAGGGAAGCCTTTCTTTGAAATTCTATTTTATTCGTCGTGAGTTATTTGACTCAACCTGAATCAGAACAGATTGCAGATACCTAAATTCAACATGAAGAATTATGCTAGTTCGCAGTTTGATTTGGAAAAAGGGCTTTTGACTGAAAAGATATCGCTTTTCGAAGTTGTAGCAGTGGATAATTCCCAAAAATTATTAGAAAATTAGAAGCTGGAAGATATCCACTTGCGTTTCTATATAGCGTACCCAAAGCACCCACATTTTCCAAACTGATGGGCCCACAAAAAACTTCACTCTGTTCCAGCATTTTCCTGCTATTTTGTGCTCACTGCTTTCTACATGCCTTTACTACTTAAAAGAAACATTTTCACCAAATATCACTAGACCCCAAATTCATCTGCCTTAAACCACGGCTACTGTCAATGGAGTTGAAGATTGAACGATCAATTCTTGGTTGTTTGCTTAAAATCAACTTCCCCAATTTTCGCGGAGGCATCAATACGACAGTCATCGTCTCATCGGTCGCTGTTCAGAAAGAAGTGTGAAACATCGTCAGAAAACTTAGTTCGCTTATTCCTTTTATATGTTGGTGTAACAATAAACAAATAACAAGCGGCAGATCGCTGTTTTGGTTTTTGCGTCCGTTATAACTAAGCGTTTCTGAAATCTTCGAAGAACAGCGTGGGCCCGAGCGTAGCGAGAGCTGGGCATTAACGGTTTATGAGACGTGATTGACAGTTTCTGACGATAGAAACAGATCTGGCGGATTCAAACAGTTGGTGAAAGTTTGGATAGTCGCCGTTCATTTTTCCTGGTGCCGGTCAAGTCCTCTTTGAACAAGCAATATCTGGAACGTTTTTGGAATTGGGTCAAGTTCAACAATGCCTGGGTCAAAGAAGGGACAGAGTGTCTTGGATGCAAACAGGAAAGTAAGTCATGGTGACTTGTCTGTTAATTGTAACGATGTGTCTGATGTTAAGCATGACATGGTTGATGTTACTGTTTCGCCGTTCAGGGATAATAGGAACATCAAACTCCCTAAATTTGAACCACGGTGTTTTGATGGAAACCCGGCTGATTATTTACAATTTGTAAAGGAGTTTGAGATCATGTTGAGTGGTTTTTTATTAAATGATGAATTGAAGTTAATGTATTTGATGAGATATTGCACTGGAGATGCTGCAAGAGCTATACAGTGCTGTAAGTTTATGAAGCCAAAAGAGGGCTACTACGAGGCTATGAGCATATTACGTCAAAGGTTTGGAAGACCTTCGATGATTGCAGGGAAATTATTCGAGGCTGTTAAGGGTAATGGTGGTCAATTACAGGATGACTCCCAGGCACTCACTGAGTTTTTAGATAATTTGCTAATTTACAAGAATGGAATGATTTCGATGAATCGCATGAGTGACCTCAACTCGAGTTTTATACTAGAAGTAATAGCAAGACGTCTACCTACTCGACTGCAAAGGAAGTGGGTGAAGATAAGCTCCCGTATGGAGGATGAGGGTATCGAGCCAAAGTTTGATGATATCCTGAAACTGGTAAATACTAGTGTCAATCAATCTATGAGCAAGTTTTCCAGTCTATTACATCTCACCCCTAGAATAGAGCAGTCTGATGGTAAAACGCACTCATTGATGACGAATAAGCCTCAGAGAGGTGGATATCGAGAAGGCTCCATGATGTCTAGTAATGCATATAGACCTAGTGAGTGTAACAGGTTTCGTAGTACATCCTCAACAGATAAGTTACAAGATGCAAGACAAACACGGTTGTGTTTTACACGTT